TACAGTCTCTTTTATTCCCAATCCACAAACATAGTACAGCCCACAGGGCGTTACAAAACAGCCAATAAATCCATACAATACACCCAGACACTCCCACACAAAATCCTCCCCTCTGGCTGTGATATGATTACTGAACACAATGGGTAATCTAATTATCACAGCCAGAGAAATACAGTTTCATAAAACACATCACAGGGACCCCAAAACATGCAATAACCCCATAAAAAGTATATCCTTGGAACTGGGGGATCTGGGTGAACCACATATCCAAAATTCACCCAGATCCGTTCAGTACTTTGGAAAATACAGTTTAATGCAGATTCTGCAGAACATATACAGGCTAAATAAAAAACAATCACTGTATAATGTGTCCCCTGCTGTATAGTCCAAAACCACTGCACAATGTCTCTGTGCAACAAATACTGGCGAGATGGCACGGTGTTGAAAAGTCCACACAGTGTCTGTGAGTTAAAATGGCCGCCATCCATTGTTCTCACCATGTGCTTCTGATACAGGAAATGGTGGCCACCCAGTAACTCCACAGTATGTCCCCAGATGGTTCTTAAAAGGGCCAGCAGCAGCACAACACAAATCCATTATGCCCAAATCATGTCTTTAAAGGGCAATACATCCCAGGGGCCATAGTCACATGGCAGGAGGCTGGCAACCAGGCGTCTCCAGTGCATAGTGGCGAGGTTGGTTCCGCCACAGTGTCTACTGGTTTTTATGGAGTTAATATGCTCCAAGATCCGTCTTTTAAAAGGTCTGAAGGTCTTGCCTACGTATAATTTACCACATTGGCATTTTATTAAATAAACTAGGCCTTTAGAGTTACAATTGAAGAAGGAATTCGGATAGAAAGTATCAAGATGAGTGCTATTATGAAAGCTTTTTTAGTCCTTGCAGATAAAGGCACAAGCCCTGCATCGACCGCATTTGTAGGTCCCCAAAAGTTTGTTAGATAGCCAATGAGTATTATTCGTTTTGGACTGTTTGAAATGGCTATGTACAAGGGCATCCTTGATATTCTTACCCCTCCGTGCTGTAAGGGTCACGTTTGGGGGAAGGATTTCTTTCAAATGTACATCTCAATCGCGCTGGATACATTATAACGATACTTTGAGGAGCATTAGCTGTCACTCACGGCATACTTTTCCACCCATTTTTTTTCCCACGGTTAATAGGTAGAGAGGAGTAGGGGAGGATTTTATGATTTATTCCCTCCTTCTTCCTCCCCTCTATCCCTCCTCCTACCCTAGCTGCTTAACTCCGCCCCTCTAGACCCACGTGGGGTCAGACGTTGGTAGACGGCGTTACGCCCACGTCCAGAGAGGCGTGGACGTACCAACACCCCGCCCATATCACGCCCCTCCACACACCGGGAGAACATTACCGGACGATTTGGGGAGCCCTCCTATTGGTGATCGAGGATTTAAAAACCATTCCATTTGCAGAGGTATTTTTAGCCCCTGACGAAGGTGCATTAAACGCACCGAAACGCGCGTCGCGGTTTAACCTTTTTCTTTATTTTTCACAATGGTAGCACTAGATGTTTGATTTTGATTTATTTTAAGTTTTGTCCTACAGTTCCTATAGAGTGACCAGCAGTGGGGGAACTCTTGCAGCTCCTGGACGGATATATGTAGGTCTCCATTTGAAGTTTGGCGGGAAGTTTTGACAGTTGAAGTTCAGAGAAGGAAGGAGAAGGAACCCTGCTAGGCAGGAGAAATAGGTTTCTGGAGTGAGAGCTGCTGGGTCCAGTGTGAAGCCCCAGTGGAAGGAGGATTTCCGCAGGCATCTACATCCTGACAGAGAGCATTTTTTTTTTTGTCAGAGACTTGCTAGTGAAGGAGAGAGAAAATCCCAGAAGCAGCAAGAAGCAGTGTTTCCCCTTCTGACTGGCCCTGATTACATTTGGTGTGGTAAGCCTGCATACTCTCCCCCTGTATGCAGCAGGGCACCCTGACTTTGGGCTGCAAAGTTTAGAGACTGGACCCCTATTTTTACTGGCTATTGGAAGCTCTCAAGTGCATTTCAGACCCATCAAGTTGATTACAAACAGCTTACTGGGCCCCAACTACGTGCACTGACCGCTGGTACCCAACGTCCACTAGGGTGAAATCCTAAGGAAAGGGGGGAGAGGGAGGCGCAGTGTTACTGTGGGTGGGCATATATGTGAGGTACTTTATTATGACCCTGTTTTAATTATATTGTTAGTATATTGGTGTATGTCACATGTTGCGTTAAATTCTGCTCTGCAATACAGAACTCTTTAGACAGATAACCCTGTGTCTGTTGTTGCTGATATAACCATGTTCCCAGTGGGACCCCACATCCACACTCTGGATGCCCAGCTGGGTGGAGGCACTGCCGTAAGTGGGTACCTATCTCCCAATTTGCGGAGGCTCAGGATTGGCTTACCAAGCACAAAGAGGTAACTGAGGTGAGGGACGCCATGGGTACATGGGGATCCGCCAAAAAACCTGTTACATATAATTTAAGACTTTAGTTCATCAAATGTAAAATGTTTAATGAAATGTTTTTATTTCCAACTGTTTATTATTTTTTTCTTTTCATATGCAACACAGGAGTATTTTGGAGGAGATATTGTTAATAGGAGATCATTTTAATTCAACCAATTTAAACAGGGTTTATATATATATATATATATATATATATATATATATAAAAAATTCACGTTGGGTCCCGCACTCCTGCTCCCAGTCTTGTTTATTGCCTAGGTGCCACTAGTAATTCCATGTTTGTACAACCGAGATCTGGCAAGAAGTTTAAAATACGACATAGGATCACTTGCACCACTACCTATGTTGTGTACCAGATTATATGCCCATGTGGACTCGTGTATGTGGGCAAAACGTCTAATGATCTCCGTGAGAGAATGAGGGGACACCGTTCAACTATACTGACAGCATTGGCAAACAAATGTGCAAGTACTCCAGTTGCACGTAATTTTTTAGAAATGGGACACTCTTTGCCCTCATTGAGATTTATGGGGATAGATCATGTCCCAGAACTGTCTAGAGGTGGCAACCGTGAGATGTGATTGCTACAAAAGGAGGCATTTTGGATTTTTACATTGGACACTATGTCTCCCAATGGACTAAATGAAATGAATTCACTTCAATGCTTTCTACCAAGAAGGTAGTCTGTGATATGCGTTCCACGGCATAACATGTATTCTATTGTTATGGACAGATGAATTAAAATAAAATGGCTATTTACTAATGTCTATTTATTCTCTGTTCACTATGTTAAAACTGGCTTCTAGAGTAAATATTCCCTTCCCCCCCTACAATGTGGTCAGCTGCTGTTTACTATGTAAATTCCTCACATCCTGCTAGCCTCCCCTCCCCCACTACCTTTGTGCCAGTTAACAGCTATATGCCATATATAGCTAAATGGAGGATCATTGGTTTAGAACTGATAGATACCACTCACTCCCCCTCCCATCGTGTATCCAAAAGTGTGTAATGATGACACTACATGAATGGCATGAATGGCACCTTAAAAGGCGCCATTCTGTAGGGGGGTTTAAACAAGAGCCCCCTTTCTCTGTTAACCAATTGGTGAATGTATACTGTATGTTTAAACTGTGACGTATTTTTGCTTTAAGAAGGAGCCCCCACTCCGGGGAATAAAGCATTCCTGGGTTTTTCACTGATCAGAAACTTTGTCTCCGGTGTGAATTACTTCTAGGGAAAGCGTGCACGCATTAATTAATCAATTTGGAAGGTGTAGATAGACAAATAATCAAAGTTTTCTTTGATCCAAAACAATTTGGTGGAGAATGCGGGCATTTAAGGGATACGTTACTAAGGCAGCCGTCAGATCCCAAGACAGGAGAGCAAAGGATTTCCAGAGATTGGAAACGGAGCCTGATCACCTCTGCATATGGTAAATGAGTTACTTACCTATATTTTCCTTTCTTTGGATTTCTCTTGTTCTCCGTGCCTTCACATTCGGCTTCCGGTGTTTAACGTCTTCAGACAGGTAATATATATATGCCCGAATGTCCCCTTTTATATAGAACCTGTCACTTGTCTATCTACAGCCTGAGTCCTGAGTGAGAGTTTTATGTGTGAAAGTGTCTGTTTGAGAATCTGTTTTACTACTTGCTTAATACTGTTATATAATGCTGCCAAGTGTGGTTAAGCACTTGCAGGTTTAGCCAAGTTCGGGTTTGGTGGAAAACCCCTGGCTCTATATTTATTTTAGCTAAGCTTCGGTAAAGAAGTTATTGCGAGACTCGGTCAAGAGTTTAAAAATAAATAAATAAAATAATAAAAAAAAAAATAAATTATTTTAGCTAAGCTTTGGTAAAGAAGCTAGTGAGTGATGTTTTGGCCTCGTTTGGTAAAAAACCTGGCGGTTCCTTTGTTTTATTAAGACTCGGTCAAGAGTTTAAATAGCTAAGCTTCGGTAAAGGAGCGGTTTATGTGCTTGAGTGTTTCTGTGTGTGTGATTTGATTTATTATAAGCCGGCATTTATTTTAAGAACTTTGTGATTTAATTACATCTGTATTTTGTGCTTTTGTCTGTGTATGTCTTGTTGGGTACCATATATGTTAATTGTAATCTATACAATTTGTATCGTTACTCTCCTATTCTATCTTTTGTCCTAAGGAGAGCTGTGCTTAGGCAATCACATGGTTAAAAAACTTTGTGCTTGCAAGTCTTCCTCCCTCCTCCCCCCTCCTTCTTTGTTGCTTTCTCTTGCTCTGACTGCTATGAGTATTGGCTACAGGGGGGTGGGGTGAATGGGTGAAATGCTTGTAAACTCAGTGAGGAATGTGAGGGAAACAAGGTATATTTGCTGGACGAATAACCTAGTTAGGAACTTTGTGTAATCTTGTATATGTTGTTAAGCAAGAGGTTATTGGCATGTTGGAATAAGGAAAGTTAGATTTTGTTGGAACAAATGAATTGTGGAATTTATAAATGATATCGCAGAGAAAAGTAAATTGCAGTTTGCATTTAATAGCAGTTATTCAGATGCTGTTTTGTGGCAATCTTTATACACACAATGTGAAATTGCCAATAGTGAAATTGACAAGAAATTGTTTGTTAATAAAAAAAAAAAAAAAAAGATCAGAAATGTTATGAAACTAGTCTGTACTTACAATGCATTGATTTGTAAACGAGATGCAGGTCAAGAAAATTTAGAATCAGCAGATAAAGAAATAGATTTGAATGGGTTAACAGAAGACAAATCAGATTTAAATGAACAGTGTAACAATGTAACAGAGAGCACATGCTGTAAACAGTCAGAAACAGTCTGTGAATTACAGGATAGAGTTGAACTAAGAAGTGATCTTATTTGCCAGCTTAGAAATGAAGTTAAGCAAGTGTGTGTTAATACAAGAAAAATACAGACACAGAATCTAATCCCAGAACCAATAGATACTGAAAATGTATCCTCACAGAGTGATTTGCAGAAATATAAATTTCAAGACAGAGCTGCAAAACTTAATTTGAAAATACATGAACAATTAATGAAAATTGTGAAATGTATTCCAGTTTATGACACGTCAGTGGATGCATTTACTAATGCTGGAATGTTTGAGTCAAATGTGGACAAATACAGCCTAAATGACGAACAAAGGAATAGATTGTTTAAAATATGGCTGCCGACTCAAATGGCATGTAGACTGACCACGCTTGTAAAATTTCAGGACAATGATAAAATAATATATGGAAATTAGGAGACAGACAAGCAATGCAGCGTAACACAGAAAGTTATAAGAATCAGATAACTTCAAGAGATATGATCAGTTTAGGGAATGAGCATGGATATGTCTGCCAACAGATGTACACAGGCTGATTCCAGAATTAAGAACAGCACAAGAATAGAGATCTATGTCAGTTTATTGTTTTAAATGAATTGTTAGTCTGTACTGTCTTTCATTGTTTTTATATGTGTTATAAGAAAGTATTAGGTTAATTAAAATAAAAATTTAAATCAAGTTTGCACATATGGCAGAATGAAATACACTAATGTAGCAGTGAGGAACATGCAATGTTATATTGGGTGTATGCAATTATATAGTAACTCCAATCATTTTACAGAAGAAAAAACAATAGATTTATTCTTTGTTGCTTCTGAGGTTGATTTAAAATCTTTGATTTAATTCATGAGAATGAGATTTTAATATCATGACTGATAATGGATTACTGTATATTGCAACGCCTGGACATACACATGGTTTGGATATACTGAAGACAAAAGGAATAATATATGGGAATGGATAAGGCTGATTTCCCCTATCCACAGCCACGCCTACTCCTAAAGTAACATCGCGTACATCCTTACTATGCCCTTTTACTGTAGAATTTCCCGAATCCTAATGACCCATTCCACTACATGGTGTGACTTGTTTAAGCCTAAGATAAATTGGCTGATCAGGCTACCTGTATTAACAATGTCATCAACGATGAGTTAGCATCTGTGGAGAAGCATCACTTCAGGTTGTCCCAAATTTTCTTTTAACTTAAGTTTTAGTACATAGTAAGGCCCATGCCCAATAACTATATGCAGCCTTGTATAGCAGGCCACATGACATCTATTTGTACCAAGCAAGGCCTGCCTGACTCCTCATTCCTGTCTAACATTGTTGTCTCCTGCATAAGTGTAGATGGCTCTCCTTGGAGTAGCCTGTTAACTAAGCCTTGCTTTGTGGTTACCTTCACCTGTCCAATTAATCTGCTAGGTGCAGATGTCCTTCCCCCACTTGCAGGCCCCTATCACCTTATTATTTATTTTGTTCCACACAGTGAAACCTGACCAAGAGGCAAGGGTCCTAGCTAGTTCCCCCAATACCTTTACCTGAATTATACAGGCCCCAAAGCCTGTCCAAGCTCTTACTATTCCCTAACAGGTTAAGGCTCTGGTGTCGAATGTTGCCCTGGTTACCTGAGACTTTCCATGCAATATCCCACCTCTCCTTGTGATGGACGAATTCTGTGCAGGATAATGTCACCCTGCAGGGATGATACTCTATTTACCTGGCCACTCTTCTGCCACTTCCCAAGGGGGGAAATGATAAGACACTGACTATTATTTTTTTTTTAGCCTTTTTCTTATGTTCTGTTCCGGATTTGCTGTCACTACAGTGGACCAAGTATCTCACCTCAACAATGTCTGCACAAGAAGCTGAGCTATAGACTCCCATCACACCATGCAAGATCTCTGAAGGAAGACTGAACTCAGAGGAAGCATGTGGCAGCTCTCTGGCTGACTAAGTTATTCAAAAAGTTGTAAGTGCACTAAGGGAAGTGGACAGAAAAGTGTCTGCTGAAGAAACTCCCATATTCACCATGTAAGATCCTACCCACAGACATCAAGCTCCCGAAGGAATAACAAGCAAGCTACTGACCCTGGAAAGAAAGAAAAAAAACAAACAAACCACAAGCTGGAAACAGAAAGGGGCAACTCTTAAAGACAGGCTGTACTTCAACAATCTCAAGTTATACTTGCCCAAGAACATATACTCAGCAGTGGTCCAGTGGGCCTACGGAGCATCTGTCCAGAACCCTCATGAACTCTTTTGATCAATAAATACTCTGAAGTACCAGGAATTGCCTCTCTGACCAACAGTTACTGTAAATCTTGTGCCATTTGTGCCAAGGGCAACTCAAGAAGAATGGATGAAAGCCCCAAGCATCTAGCCAAACCTCATTATCTCTTCCAGAGGAGTCAAGTCGCCAGAATGCCAAAGAATGGCTGATTCAAATATGCACTAATTATAGCAGACATGTTTTCAGGATGGCCAGAGGCCTATCCAGCCACCAAAGTGATAACCAAGACCACATGCTGAGTAGTGCACCGTGAAAGATACAGAGATCACCCCGTGGGTTCATCATTCCAGAATCAAGCCTGCCTCTGCATCATGTGAAGTAACATTTGTTGATCTTGACAACCCTTTTTGAAACTCCATTCTTAGAGAACAAAGATACTTGTTGAAAATAAATAAATAAATATCAACAAGTGGGTGTTTTGATGGCCATAATAATGCCTGACCACCTGCCATCGATGGAAAGCTGAATACCCCAAAAGGGGACCTCGTGAAACTAAAGAGAAACAAACATACTCCTTACCCTGCAGCCCTCACGTCTGAGGTGCCATACGCACAGTCAAAGCTTCTTCAAGATCATCTGCTTATCTTGAGTTTGTGATGATATTAATATTGAATGTTTAAATGATCTGAATCTGCCAGTACTAGGGTAGCATGAGACAAGATTTCTAAGAATAAGTAAATGTGCCCTAGCCTAGGTTATTATGTCCATACACATAACACATGACAATCCCCAAGGTACTCTTGACACACCTCATTCATGCTTCAGGACAAAAAGGAGTACCCCTATAAAGGGTGGTTTTACCCACACATATATATATATGTATATTAATGCCATAGGGGTGTCAAGGGGGGTACCAAATAATTTTAAGGTAAGAAACTAAGTTTGAATCTATTCTCCCAAGCATTACGGCTAATAAAATCTGAATTGGAAGGGAAGAGGTTTATACAATAAACAGGAGACCTTTTTCTTACAGGACATGTATGACTCAGCTGAATGGGTAGGTGCCACGCACATGACTGTTAATCCCCTCAAACCACACATTAGGACTTTAAAAGACATGGTAGTCATCCCATATTTGAGGATAAGAGGGCTGTAGAGACAGGTTTCTCTGACACTAACTTGTGACTTGAATGGATGAAATACAATGCTACTAAACATAACAAGTCTAACTGCTATGTCTGCAGAGGAGCGAGGCCTCACCCAGGTACAGTATCCCTGAACCTTCCTCCGGATATGAAGTATGCGTTTTAAGTCTCTACACTGTATTTAAACCTAAGCGGTCAGCATGCGAGTCATGGAAACTTAATACCCAATCATTACTAAAAATATTAACCCAGACGAAGGCATTACTATATAGCCCGGGAACTATACTTGTTATGGGATATATGGTGGGATAGGGCGGTTACAAACTATCTCTCAGATGACCTTCCAGAATAGAATAAGCTTGGAAATGATTTTAGCAGAAAAAGGGAGAGTATGTAAAATACTCCCAGACACCATGACATGCTGTACCTATATTCCAGATAATACAGGCCCTAATGGTAAGGTAACGTTGGCAATAGAAAAGTTAAAGAGTTTGTCCAATGAACTGAAACGAAATTCTGGGGCCACAGATCCATGGGAAAGATGGTTTGGATGGATGTCTGGATGGCAAGGTGCTTTGGCCCAAATAGGTGTTGCCATTTTAATAACGATAATCATCTTCGCTCTTCTTGTTTGTTGTGTGTTACCCTGTCTTAAGAAATGCCTAGTTGATCAGACAGTTGATCAGACAATCGACCAGACCACCCCGACCTTCCTTCACCAAGAGATTGACGACATCGACCTTGATACACCACATACACCCTTACAGTCCCACCGCACTAAATCAACAGCTACTTCCTCTTAAGGACATTTAGGGATAGCGTCTGTCTCTACGGGCAGAAGTCTGCCGCGGGAGAAGTAGTGGACAAGCTGCTATGGGGTACCCGCGCAGTGAAGTGTTCGAGGCCTGTTCAGACAGATGTGCAAGATAGCCTTTTGTTATTTTTCTATAGGGACAGTATTAGAATGAGAGATAGTAGTTTTAGTAAAAATTGCCATTTTAAGGGGGACTGTTATGGACAGATGAATTAAAATAAAATGGCTATTTACTAATGTCTATTTATTCTCTGTTCACTATGTTAAAACTGGCTTCTAGAGTAAATATTCCCTTCCCCCCCTACAATGTGGTCAGCTGCTGTTTACTATGTAAATTCCTCACATCCTGCTAGCCTCCCCCCCCCACTACCTTTGTGCCAGTTAACAGCTATATGCCATATATAGCTAAATGGAGGATCATTGGTTTAGAACTGATAGATACCACTCACTCCCCCTCCCATCGTGTATCCAAAAGTGTGTAATGATGACACTACATGAATGGCATGAATGGCATGAATGGCACCTTAAAAGGCTCCATTCTGTAGGGGGGTTTAAACAAGAGCCCCCTTTCTCTGTTAACCAATTGGTGAATGTATACTGTATGTTTAAACTGTGACGTATTTTTGCTTTAAGAAGGATCCCCCACTCCGGGGAATAAAGCATTCCTGGGTTTTTCACTGATCAGAAACTTTGTCTCCGGTGTGAATTACTTCTAGGGAAAGCGTGCACGCATTAATTAATCAATTTGGAAGGTGTAGATAGACAAATAATCAAAGTTTTCTTTGATCCAAAACACTATATGTTTAGTGATATTTAGTTGATCTATCCATTTTCTAGGATCTGTTATATTAATGAGTATTGGCATTATGCTGACTAGATTATGGATAGTGGATTTGTTAATATTATTTGGCTGGTTATGAATGAGCTATATGATTAAGTTAAGATCTAAATCCAGTTCCATAATCGACTAGCAATGTCTGATATGAGCGTTTGTAAATACTTTACTTTATTTTGTTGCTATTTTGCAGTAAGATTTTGTTGATAATTTAGTGCACCTTGTGGCCATGTATCATAGTTTATACTGCTCTTATCGTTTGGCTTTTTACGAATGAGTTGTATAATCGAGTTAAGATTCAAACTTATTTCCTGCAAATACTTTATTTTGTTCGAGACAGAACCTTGTTGTTATCCTACAGTAAGAATGTACTCAATGCATTTTGTGGTTAAATATCAGAGTTTATACTGATTTTATGTGTAGATTTCCTCCATGCTGATTCATACTTGGACCTGAAGTAGTAGGAGTTAACAGCTGTCTCTAAAAGTGAAACTCTGTTCTTGGTCAGAGTTGATACCACTTTGATTGTATACTGATCGCTCCAGTCCAGTATGTATTCTCTGCTTGGGGAAAACATTTTGTTATGTTTTGTATATATGTAAATAGTTGAGTTTTTTCACTTTAGGTATGTTCAATGGTTTTATTGAATACTGTATATATAATTAATTAAACACTTTAGTAATTGGTACCATATGTTAAACTCACGATGTAATTGAACCTCGTTAGTGTTCCTTTACCCTCCAATCAACAGCTCACAGTGTATATTTAAATGTTTATTTAAATGCAATGAGTCACATTGTTAGATTGTCTTGAAAAAAAAGTCCCTATTGGACTGAAACGTCAACACTATGTAATCAACTTTTGAAGCTTGAATAAATGGCACATTTTTGGCAACAGTATCGAGTCCTACTAATATTGGGGTGAAGGG